GCTCTCTGATTTTTCGTGGGTGGTTTGAAGCATTTGGTCCGAGAACCTTTCAGCCACAGTTGATGAGCTGATTGTGGGTTTTGTCTTGAGCCTGGTCTTTAGTGTCAGCTGAGTTTCATTCTAAGATGCCCCTGGAGAATTTCTATTCTGATAATTGCGTCTCTTAACAACTGATATGTTTTTATTTTATGAGCTGGATGGGCACCTGGTAAATATTTTTTTCCCTTTTTTGCTTTTGTTGCTAGGTAGCCCAGAGCCAAATTGCTATTCTGTTATAACTGTGTACGACCTTATGACAGGCATTTCTGAGAGCTGCCTTTCACTCTGGCCTTATTTTACTATTCCACTTTATTTTTCTTCTCTTTGCCCAGATTTCTCATCCTGTTTTGAAAATGATTTCTTCACAGGGTCAAACAGTGCTCCTTGTTCAACAGGAATTCCCAGGAGGTGCCTCAAAGTCACCGCCAACCTGGAATATGAGTTTGTATGCATTACAAAAAGGGGCTCCTGCCTTCAGGCAGACAGCCTCAACCAGTGCCCTTGTAAATGCACTTATATCCTTGGCAGTCCTCCAAGAACTTCCTTGATGGGTTCTGGGCCTGGTGCAGCCCCCTCAATTTGAGCAACTTCTTGTTTATTTGTTTTACATATTGGCCTGCTGCAAAATCTTTTACTTAAAAAGAAATTCATTTGTTCATTCATTTTTAAGTTAATTTGTTAGTTTTATGGTGCTTTTGATATGCTAGGTGCTAGAACACAAAGGTAAACAAGACTGCTTCAAGGACTCTGCCTTCTTTGGAGGTTGTTGCATTCTGATGCGGGAGCCAGTCACTAAATCAAGGATCAGGGAGAGCCTCTCTGAGGAGGCGATGGTGAAGACAAGGTCTGTAGAATGAAGAGGAGCCTGATGCACCAAGGGCAGGAGAAAGAGACTTTCTCCTGCAAGTGCAAAGGCCCTGATGCTAGAGAGAGCTTGAGAGGTTGCAGGAAAAGAGTTCTTATGGTTGTGAACAAGAAATAGAAGGAGACTTGTTACTGAAAGTGAGAAGAAAAGATGAGGGAAAGTTAAGGATGACTCTTAGTTTCAATAAGTGAACAGAGAGTGGCATGAGATAAGATTTGAAGGACCCAGATCATTCAGGACCTTTTCGGCCATGGTAAGGAGTTGGGATTTTATCTTAAATATAATAGGAATCCATTGAATGGTTTTAATGAAATGATTCAAAGTTTAAAGAATCAGTCGGGTTCCTGTAGGCAGCAGAAAGAACAGAAGTGAGAAGATCAATCCATGGGAGAGATAATATTGGTTTGGGCCAAGATGGTGATGGAGAGGGAGTAAAATGGGTGTATATTCAAAATATTATAGAAATAGACTTGTTACTGAAAGTAAGAGGAAAAGATAAGGGAAAATTAAGGATGACTGTTAGTTTCAATAAGTGACCAGATGCTAGTGACATTTATTGAACTAAGGAAGTACTGTGATGGAGAAACTTGGAGAGAGGGGAGAGAATAAAGAATTCAGTTATGGACATACTTATTTCAAGACATCCTAGTGGAGATGTCAAATAGCAAAAAAGTGGAGAGGATAGGGCTGCTATTACAAACTTGAGAGTCATCAGGAAATAGATGATGTTGTAGACACAAGATTGAATGAAATCTAGGAACACAGTGGAAATGAGAATTCCCAGAACCAAGTCCTGGGACTATGTAAAAGTTGAGTACAGAAGGAAAAGGGGAGAAATTAGATTAAGGTAATGGAGCACAACCAAGATTGGAGAGTGTTTCAAGAAGGAAGGAATAACCAACCTCTCAGAGATCAAATCAGATGAGAAAAGGAAGGTGTGCACCCTTATTTTGCAGCATGCTGGACTGGCCAGAGAAGTTTTAGAGGGTGATAGAAATGGAAGCCAGATATAGTTGCTCAGATGGTATGAAGAGAGGTAATGGGAACAGTGAATATTTCCAAGATATTATGTCCTGAAGAGGATCAGGGACATGGGGTAGTAAGTGGAAGCAGGAACAGCTAGAACACATTTTTGTGCTGATGGGAATGATCTAGTGAAGAAAAAGAACAAAGCTGATGTGTGTTAGGTGGTAAAAAATGAAGGATTGAAGTGCTTGTGTAGGTTAAAGAAGATTGAATCTAGAGCAGATGCTGAGGGGTTGACTTTGTCAGGGGAAAACATGCTTTATTGGGGGAAAGAAAGAGAATTGTGTCCGCCTAATGGCTTTTCCTTACTTTGATGAAGCACTGTAATTGGGTGAATGTGAACAGGTTTCAAAAAAGCAGTGGACACATCCTCTCAAAGAGTAGGTAGCCGTTGAGAAAGAAATATAAGATTGAACGTCACTGTTGACTATCCATTTGAGGTTTATAATCTTGAATTTAAACTAAAGCCAGACAGTTCCATTTTGTGATTTTCACCACCAAGTTTGGTGACAAAATGTGCATAAAATAGACTTCGTTTTTTGGCCAAGAAAACACTAAATGAGACATGGACGTTCCGAACCACCTGTGAGGGAGTGATTGCAATATTGGGCTGCTTTGGAAATAAGCTACATAAGGATGGAAGTAAAAGGAGGAGGGACTGGTGGGTCATGAGAGATTGGGAGGGACAATCAAAAGGGATATTTGACTTTGCAAAGAAGTATAGGAGGGGAGAACAAACTATAGAGCTAGGGGCTAGAAGAACCAGATGGAATTCTAAGAGTGAGATATTAGGAATTGAAATGTCCAGGTGGTAATGACAAGCTCTAGGGGTACTCGGGGAAAGGAAGAAAAAAATTTTATATTTAAGGAGGCCAAAGAAATCAAAGTTCACTCTCAAAATAAGTTGGAAACCCATTCTTATTTATTATTTGTATTTCTTGAGTCATCTCAAATCCTTACTTGGAATTAGGTGATAGGGTGCGCATAAGTAATGAATGATAGTGGCTGATTCGTTGTGAGTCTACTATATAAATACCATTTTAGGATGTACTTTTGGACACTGTGTACCAAAATTCTTCATTACCATCAAGATATTGCTTGTGATGTATTTGGAAATGGGCTAATTCTCATGTCTTGATTAGTTGATAATTCTCATTTTTTTAGTCAGTAACAACATAAGACCCGCCATGGCCTTTTGGGTAATAGCTAATGCCTTTTAGGTGGCACACAAGACCCTTGCAATGAAACAACTCTTCTATACATGTCCCATCACACCCCCGTCACTTCCTTGAGGTGTTCTAGCCACACCAAACAAATTTCTAATGTGAGGTCAAGAGCTGCTCACTCTGCCTGGCATGAAGGCTAAAATATCAACTTCTGGATTAAGCCTTTTCTAAAAGGTTGAACTGTCCAAAAATGCCATTTTGAAGGGTCACAAAATGTCATATACTGGCGCTTTCATATTGTTAGTAATTTGCTACCACTATTACAAGTCTGAACCATGTATTATTGGTAGAGCTATTACTTGCTGAATTGGAATTCTGTGTTACGTGCTTTATGTTCACCATCTCATTTAATTCCAGCAATAAACCCAAAAGGTAGGTGGAACTACTTCCACTTGTTAGACAAGGATCCTGAAATTTAGAAAGGGTCTTTCTGGGAGAAAGTACATAATAAATGGTGGAACTGGGTTTTGACTCCAAAAGCAAAGGTCATACCATGCTCTTTCCTTTGGTGTTATTCATGGCAGTGACAGCAGTACAGAGCACACGCCTGATACAGAGTTGGAATACGTAAATACATATGGTACATTCTTCATCGGCCAGAAAACTACCCAAATTGAAGGCTGCTTTGTTCAGGGACCCCTAGGAATACTTTATGATGGCCTAGTATCTTGACATTGGATTTACCTTGATAATTGTTGTTGTTCCGCTGTAATTTAGAAATATAAATTTTAACAGTAATTTTTAACAGAAACTAAGAGTCTGAACGGCCCTTAAAACCTTAATCCTGTAATTACTGTTTATTTGTTTTAAGGCACTGCCTTGATCCATGTTTGCCAGACAGGTTCCTAATTGCTGGCATTGAAATGATCTAGGAAGCCAGTTTCTTCAGCTCATGAAAAGAACATGTAGATTTATTGAAGTGTGGATGCTAAGTATTGGTGTAATGCAGTCAGAGGGCACAGAGCATCTATGTTCATTTCCCAGACACCCTTTTTCTCTCATTGACATGGACCTTTCCTCTCGTTCCTAAGCATAATGGTGCTCTAGTAAGACAAGAAGTCGGTTGGCAAGTGTAACACAGCTGCTCTGATGCCTTGAATTTGGTTAATATTCCTTCTTTATTCAAACTTGATTCTGTAGCTTTCACTGAGTTTCTGCTGTCAAAGTTCAAAGCAATGGTTGTCAAACTTTCGTGTGTGTCAGAATCTTCTAGAGGGATTGCTGGGTCCCATCCCCCCCAGACTCTGACTCAGTCCATCTGGGCTGGGGCCCTATTTTCTGCAATTCAGTAAAGCTCCCAGCTGATGTTGATGCTGCTGGTCTGGCACCTACATTTTAGCTTTCGGGCCTGTTCAAGACCTGCTTTACAGGACACCAAATGAGGTTAGATAAAAAAGCAAAAATCTCAGCAACTAACTGAATGCTGGATTTTACAGACAAAAGAAAAGAAAAGAAAAAGAAAAAGACACAAAACAAAAACCAGTGACTTAAAAAATAATTTATCTCCTGATTTTTGACATCAGTGGGCTAGAACTTGGGAATCCTTCTTCCAGATACTAAGGAAACTTTCTTCTCTATGACTTTCACGCCTTCAGTCAGTATGCTTTGTTCTTAAACCTATCCTAGAGCGAGATGTTTTATTAAATTGATGAGTTTTACAATACAAAAATGAAAGCAAAGAATTTTCAAAATGAAAACATTCCATAATACAATAAGAATTGTGGATATTAGATGTAAAAGAGTGATTTCTAATTTGCCTTTGTTTAGAAGCTCAACAATATTTGCATTTTTATTAGATTCAAAATGGTATGAGTCATGAAGATCAACACATTTCTTTTTGACAGGAATCCTTTGTGTTTGAACCCAACTGCCTCTTCAAAGTGGATGAGTTTGGCTTCTTTCTGACATGGAAAAGTGAAGGCAAGGTATGGCCCAAGAACAGCAAGTTGTTCTTTCTGCTTTGTGGTTTAAACCATTTTGTTTCTCAACAAGTAGACTGAGCGCTATTGATGAATCCTACCCTTATTCATTCATTCATTCATTCAAGGTTTTAAAAAATGCACCTGCATGTGCCAGACATTGAAGTATACAGTGATGATTAAGGACATTATCCTCATAGGTTCCAGTCTAGGAGCAAAGTCAGGCATTAAAAGATAAGTTACAAGTCATTGAATGTTGCGAAAGAGAACACTGGATTGTCAAAGAGCTTAATTTAATCTTGGGAGTTAGAAAGAAATCTGCCAGAAGAAGAGATGCTCAAGCTGAAATCTAAAAGGTACATTAAAAGTGTGTTCATCTCATTAAACCCTGGGACTTAATTTGATGTATGGTACAGTGTCCACATTTAATGAACAATTGAGCTGAATTTAAGAAAAGAAGAATTATAGTTATATAAAAATTAGCATTTTTCTCATATTTCATGTACACACATATGTTTAATGATTATTAACAATGTTTTATATATAAAAGTAACAGATTTTAGAAACATTTTTATATTTAGCATTGCATATATATGTATATATGAAATGGAATACTTGGGATCTTGATTATTTCTGATTATTTGCAATAATTATTGTTACATGATTTTAATTCCTTCTTCAATCTGACTGTAATAAGCACAGCCTTCATCATCAGAAATTTTTGCCAAGCACTTTGCCTGTATCATAGGTATGGCATAATTTAAGCTCATTGCTGTGTTGTATTCTCTCTCTTCAGGAAGGACAGGTGCTAGAATGCTCCCTCATCAACAGTGTTCGGTCGGGAGCCATACCAAAGGTACCTGTGATTGGTATTTGCTTTTCTAAACACGGATTTACTTATATTGGAAATGGCCATGGCTTCTAGAGATAAAAAGCTCACTCTTTGTATCCAGGCTACTTAAAACATTTAATCTCAGTTCTGAGAATAACATGTGGTTGCTGGTTGTGGTAATGCCATATTTATTCACATGAAACCTCCGTGACTCTCCTCTGTTGAGAGAGAGGCTTTGTGAACAAGCAGACCCTAATAAAAGGCTTTTCTATCCTGTTGCCATATTCTAGCTCCTCCAACAACTACAATCAAAACTCTAAACAAAGACCCTCACATCTAGTTTCTAAATCAAAAATTTTAGGCCAGGCACAGTGGCTCACACCTCTTAGCACTTTGGGAGGCAGAGGGAGGCAGATCCCTTGAGCCAAGGAGTTGGAGACCAGCCTGGGCAACATAGTGCAACCCTGTCTCTACAAAAATTACAAAAATTAGGGTGTGTTAGCATGTGCCTGTAGTCCCAACTACTCAGGAGGCTTCTGTGGGAGGATCCCTTGAGACAGGGAGGCAGATGTTGCAGTGAGCTGAGAATGCGCCACTGTTCTCCAGCCTGGGTGACAGAGCAGAGACTCCGTACCACCCCCAACCAAAAAATTTGTAATACCTTTCTTATCAGTTGATTTCAAGGAATATATAGTGTTACAAATTTCACCTCTACAGGTTTTAGAATAACGCTAAGTATCTGGGCCCTTATGTGTATTTTTACATTAAATGTGGTTGCTTTTTACCAAGTTTCTTCCTCCATGCTCTGTGATCTAACTTATTTTTTTTCTATCTGTGTACCTCTATACAGGATCCCAAAATCTTGGCTGCCCTTGAAGCTGTTGGAAAATCAGAAAATGATCTGGAAGGTCGGATAGTTTGTGTCTGCAGTGGCATAGATCTAGTGAACATTAGTTTTACCTACATGGTGGCTGAAAATCCAGAAGTGACTAAGGTAGCTTCAGTTAAATGGCCTTCTTCTCTTCCTCCCCCCCATAATGTATATATGTTGTGTGTTTAATTTTATGTGTGCTATATTTTTACATACTTAAATTGTATGATAATTTAAAAAGTAGCATTGCTTTGCTGACATGTTTCTGTAGAAAATCAGCAAGCACAGTACCCTTTTAGCATGTCACTCCTGTGGGCCAGCAACCCAAATACCTACTATGATATGTTGGAGGGAAAACTAGTCCAGCACTTCTCCAACTTGAGTGTATACCAGAGTCCCCTGAGCTCTTGTTAAAATGCAGATTCTGATTCAATAGGTCTGACGATCCTTTTCTAACAAGCTCCCAGGTGGCATGGATACTACTTATCTGACAACTACAGTTTGAGTAACAAAGGTCTGGGTCAACACCACCCAGTAGAAATGCAATGTGAGCCACATATATAATTTAAATTTTTCTTGTAGCCATGTATTACAAGTAATAAGATACAGGTCAAATAATTTAATAAAATATTTTTGTTTTAATCCAGTAGACCTAAAATATTGTCATTTTAATAGGAGACCAATATAAAATTTGATTAGTGACATATTTTACATTCTTTTGCTCATACTAAGTCTTAGAAATCTGATGTGTATTTTCAAATCAGGCTAACCACTTTTAGGTGTTCAATAGCTGCATATGGCTAATGGCCACTATACTGGGTAGGCAGTGCAGGTCTGGATGGCTAAGAAATCCAAACTCCCCCTCCCAATAAGTTATTAAAATATTGGGTTAAGATCAGTCGTTTAATACCCAACATACCATTGCCCTGGCAAGTGAGTCTCAAAGAGACTTCTCAAAGAAGTAGAAAGCCTCTTAAATATTTTTTCTGCTAATCACGTGTTTACAGGGTGATTTTACCTCTGTACAGCACTCCCGTTATCTTTCTGTAATGTGTGTGAAAAGGACTAAGCCTTCACTTTCCATTGCAGAGAAGGGTTTGGGGGAATGGGGAGGCATTTTGTCCTCTCATTAACCCTATAATTGGAAACTCAATGTAGGATGAATTTCTAATATCATTAGAAATACTGAATTTTAGAGCTAAAAGGAAATGTATAGGGAAGATTATTTGAGGACACTGAGATTACAAAACTTAACCATGAATCCAGAGATGACTTATGGCAGAATTGAGTTCTGTTGACCCCTACACCATCAAAGCTCTATTACCCTCACTCACAAAGTATGGTCCTCATTCTAGAAGTGCTGACCCCTCCCAGGAGCTTGTTACATATTTGACTCTCATGCCCACCCAGATGTTCTGATCCTGAGTCTTCATTTTTGACAAGACTCTCCAGGTGACTCAGATGTATGGTGAAGTTTGAGAACTCCTGGTTTGTAACTTTGGAGGCAGAAATGGATGCTCCATGTCACATAAGAGTGTTTGGTTCTGTCCTTATTGTGGTGGTTTTATGCGATCGTTCATGTCACCTCACTTCAAGAGAACAGATTTTGCAGTGTCTTTAAGTTCTTTTATTACTCTGCTGAGATCAACTCCTTCTTTAATTACCAATTCATATTACAAGAAACAGGATTATGCAGTATAAGCTCAAATATTGGGGCTTTGGGGCCACATTGCCCCAGTTCAAATCCTTGCTCGTCCCCTTCCTAGCTGTGTGAAGCAGATGTACAGCTGGACCTCTCTGCGCCTCATTTTCTTCATCTGTAAAATGGGAACAGTACCAGAATATCTGCTCTTAGGATGATTGTGAGGCTTACATGAGTTATTACATGGGAAGCACTTTGCGTACTGCCTTTCTCGTTGAAAGCCCTCGGTATGTGTTTGCTATTAGGATGACAGAGGCACAGAATTTTAGGGTTGGAAATGGACCTTAGGAAGGGCTTCTCACCTCATTTTTCAGATGAGAAAAATGAAGCCAGAGAGGTAAAGGAACTCTGAGACCACACAGCAAGCTGGGCCAGAGTCCAACCTAAAACCAGGTCTTCTTATGCCCTATATGCTGCACCCACTTTGCCCTGTGCCCTGAACAAATACAGTCCTGGGGAGATGACTCAAATCAGTACATCTCATAATGTTTTTGCTTTCCATAATTTGGTAGCTGTTAGTATTGGCCCATTCTAAGAACCGTGTTCTGAAACATACTCTTGAGTAGATTGTGGATATGTACAGTTGACCCTTGAACGATGTGGGGGTTGGGGTACCATACCCCTGTGCAGTTGAAAATCCATGTGTAACTTTTGACTCCTCCCAAACTTAATAGCCTACTATTAACTGAAAGCCTTACTGATAATATCAACAGTCAACTCACATACTTTTTGTATGGTGTATGTATTGCCTATTGTATTCTTACAATAAAGTAAGCTAGAGAAAAGCAAATGTTAATAAGAAAATCATAAGGAAGAAAAAAATATGTTTATTGTTCATGAAGTAGAAGTTGATCATCATAAAAGTCTTTATCCTTATCATCCTCACGTTGAGTAAGCGGAGGAGGAAGAAGAGGAAGATGTTGGTCTTGGTGTCTCAGGGTTGGCAGAGGTGGAGGAGGTGGAAGTGGAGTCAGGAGAAGCAGGCACATTGGTGTAACTTTCACTGAAAAAAAAAAAAATCCACGTATAAGTAGACCCACACAGTTCAAACCCATGTTGTTCCATGACCAGTGGTATATGTTTGAGGGTTGGGAGTGGGGGGATGTATACTTCAAGGTAAGAGTTGAAGGTTTTCTCCTAATATCATTTACATGGAAATTTAAGAGCAGCTGGCCAGTAAGAGCTAAAAAATAATTCTGTATTGGATTTTTTTATTCAAACTCAATACTATTTGAGCATGCTCTTACTGAAGAAAGTAAGTGTTTCAGTTTCTGGGAACTATTACATTGAATTTCATTAATAGCATAATATATAAATAAATACAAATCTCATTGTCCAAACTGGACAGTGCATTGTCCTTTTGGTTGATTGACACTTGGAGAAAATATTGAGTACATTTTTTCACCAAATATACATGCATGTGGATACTCTTACCCACTGCCTTATCTCAAAACTTAAAATAAGTATATTTACCACTTTCAGCATTGACAGCATTTTCTCCAACACCACTCTTTCATTTCTATTCCTTTCTATGTGTTTCTATTGCTAATAGAACACACAAGCCATCAAAGTGAAAGGCTTCATATGAAATACACATAGATATAATTACCTCAGTTCAAAATAATGACAGGATACATAAATCAAATTGGGTCCATGAGAAATGTAGAGATCTCCCAGGGTACATGAAATACTGTTTGTGACTCAGTGAGTGGTTCTACTCAAACATGAGTATATCCTAGGAGCCTAGAATCATGGGGCCATGAAATATACTAACAGCCCTCTTACTTAGCCCATGCAATAAGCTGCATTTTTGGTCAGTTTATCACAAGAGTCAATTCGAGGAAGTAATCATTTTTTAAAATTAATTCATATATACCTTAAACACTGTAACTTAAAGCATATAAATGTTGTTCTATTGACTAATCTTTTAATGTTAGGGACAAGCCTTTTCATTAACTATGGGTCTATTGAGTGGGTTTTATGTTTTCGGTTTTTGGTTTTTTTTTCTCTATACTTTGAATGCCTCAGGTAGCCAGTTTGGTTTCTTTAAAGTGGATCTGAGACTAAGGACACTGATTGGACAGAGTGCAATGGAATGTAAAATCCTACAGTTCTGTGACTTTTCTCCCTAACCTTTTAGTTATCTTGTCTACACGGAATTTGAGAGAAATATTTTTAGCAACTTGCCTTTAAAGAAATCTTGCCAAAATATTCAACTAGAGAAATGACAATCCTCTTTCTTTCCACAAGATTCAATCATTGGTTTATGTAATTTTTATGACAGCTGACAATAAATAGATTTGAAAACAAACATAAGTAACTCATGATAGACATGCAAGGTGAGAGCAAAAGGGTACAAAATATTGGAAAGTAGCTTGCCGGCTGGGAGAGTCCAGCACTCCCTGGGCAATCTGTGTATTTTGCTTGTCTTATGAACACCTGATGAGCCTTGGTCTGACAAGTGAAATATAAGTTAAGTGAGTTTCTAGTATAGAACTTACTTATGAGTAGATTCATGAGTCTTTTTTTAATTCCTAGGCTCTGATTACACTTAAGAGCTGACCATTCAGAATAATTCACTTAACCCAACATTTAATCTAGGCAAAAGGGTCAACTTTGAACTTAGTGTCTTTCATACCAAGGACCACGTTCCACATGGAGAAAGCTTTCCTGACTTTCAGCAAGCCATTTTCCCTTCTTTATTTTTCTACTTCTCAAACAGGGTCTCTGATAGTTTTTTTCTTATTCGCGTGGGTGCTTTAAGAGTCAATGAAATATTGTCTGAAATCTGAGTTTCTCATGATTGGATTTTAAATAAATACAAAATATTCTCCAGTGCATATGACTCTGAAAATATGATTGTGCTTTTTTCAGTAAAAGATAATAACATTATAAGAGACACCTTGGTAGCTCACCTTGTCTTTTCTTCACCTTCTCTCTCTGCTTTGAGAGTAAATGAGCTTGCCTTGCCACTCTGACCTGTTTAGGAGATTTGTGCTTAGTTCCATATACCTGTCTCCTTTACTGATAAGTCCCAAATCAAAGCTTTCAACTCTTCTCACATGCTTCTGCCACAGTCATTTTCATCTCAACAGATGTGCTCTCAGTTGCAGAGAACATGAACACCTTCCTCTTACATCCTATGTTAGTCTGTTCACAAATACTGTTTGCTCTACCCTCAGCAGGTATGCAGAATCCAGCTGCTCCTCACCAACATCATCATGACACAGTGGTTCAGGCCAATATCATGTCTTCCCTATTGTGCCCCAAGAGGTGTCTAACTGGTCTCTTTGCCTTAGACGTGCCCATTTTAGTCTAGTCTGAAAACAGCAGATGGAGGGATGTTTTGAAATGTAATTCAGATCACATCACTCCACTGCTCAGAACCCTCCAAGGCCCCGCTAGATATCATCCCCACCTC